CAAAAAAAAAAAAAAAAAAAAGAAAAAAAAGAAAAAGAAAAAGAAAGAAAAGAAAGAAAACCAATTGCAAACAGTTCAAATAGTTAAAGAGAGATATTCTACTGGAAATGCTCAGCTGATAGTGAGGCAATCATTGGGAAAATGGCTAATTGTATGAGAGACATTGCAGTCCTATAAAAGCTGGGTGTAACTGCACATTTCTGTAACCCGAGTACTGAGGGATAAGAGGTAGAGACAGGTTCAGTTAGAGGTCCAATCTCAAAGGAATAATTTGAAACATGACAGAAAATATCACACAATGCTTCTGACCTCTGCACATTTACACCATGTTCACCTGTACGTACCTGCACACACTTATAAACACACACACACATACACACTCAGTATCTCATTACAGAAATACAAAATAAAACCACAATGAGACACCACTATAAACTCAACCCAACATCTGAAGTGTTAAATTGAAACTATATTAAATACTGCCTTCTTTAGAAACTGAAGCATTTATACAGAGATCCTAGGGATGTGAATTGGAAGTCATTTTGAAGACTATTTTGGCAGTTTCTTATAAATCAAAACATGAAACTAAAATGAGCCCTAGAAAATAGTTTTTTATTATTTTTTATTTTTTATTTTTTTGCTTCTTATATCTCAGAGGAAAAAGACTTAAGGTCACATAACACATGTACACACATTTTTAAACAGATTCACTCATAAAAACTCCATAGCTATGTGAGACTTCAAACAAGAATGTAGGATTAAATGGCAGTATTACATCCACCACACATAGAAGGACCCACATGCCCACCTAGAAAGAACTCTAGAGAGTTAGATGACAGACAGTGAAGTGATCCCCAAAGTTATACATCTCACATTTCATCCTTATAGTAGTTCTGAAATAGACAAAAGAAAAAAGACTGAAGAACCAGCTAATGATTATCAAGAGGCCCACATTGTTGAGAGACGTCAGTGTGAAAGAGCCTCATGATGTCGGAGTTTCTTTAGCCTACCTCAGTTCTAGCTTCCCCATGCATTGCCACTAACGGGAACTGTGTAAGGGAATTTTGATCTGCTTTATTCTTTCCTAAAACTGTATACAAATTTATAATTATTTTGAAAAAAACCTAATTCAGGGACTTCAGACATGAAGAGTGTGTGTGTTGCTCTTACAGAAAACCTAAGTTTGGTACCCACACTGATATTGGTTACTTCTTGCAATTTGAATCTCAGGGGACCTTATGCCCTCTTCCAGACATTGCAAGTAGCTACACTGTGTGGCATATGCACACAGAGAGATAAACAGATAAACATAAAATCTGTTTATTTGTGCAAAACAAAATACCAAAAACATGCTGCAGCACACTGTCGTTTACTACCAAAAAAGTGTTTTCTTTTAATGCGAATTGATAGTATGTGCATCTATTAAACCTCTAACATGAAGGAGACTGACATATTCAATATAAATGAAAACTTGAAATTAGGAAAGGTGAATGGATTAAGACTCCTAAGGATACAAAATATAATGACTTAAGATTAGAAAATACAAGTGCCATGAGATCCAGCAATCTGTTTTAGACAGAACAAAAACAGAAAGTGTCAAAGCACAAGATATCACAGACATCCAGTTGTCAAGTGAAAACAGTAATGCAAATGTTCATAGTTCTTTGAAAAGCCTTCCATGGTTCCCAGGAACATTTTCAATATGCTTTCTCTATGACTTAACAATTTTCTTTCAAAGTTTCAAGTGTTAGAGAAACACAAAGATTACAAAAATACCTGTATTTAGCTGTTCACTGCCATCACTATAATGCCTACATAATCCACTATAACCAAAAAAGAAATGGGGGAACAAAGAAAAAGTATAAGTAAGAATACTAAACAGTCTAAGGAGATGGTTCGATCAGTAAAGAGATTGCCATTAATGTCAGGAGTTGAGCTTGAATCCAGAACCCATAAAGCTGGATCTGTATTTCTAAAGATAGCTTGTGTTTTTAATTCTAGTGCCTCTGTGAGGAGATTGGAGAGAGACACAGGATAACCCACGTAGGCATATACAGCATAAAATAACAATGAGACAAGGTTCAAACACAGTGAAAGACAAGAACAGACATCAAAAATTACTCCTTGATCTTGAGATGTGGCACTAAGCATGCCTTCATTCAGATACACAAAGGTACACACATATACACACACACATCATACACAATCAAAAGAATATAAGAAATAGTTGAGTGTTTTTCCCATAGATTAAATTAAACAATTAGATTTTATATTTAAAACCCTATTTATTAACATATCTCTGAATTCAATTATAAAATAAAAATTTTATGTGCAAATTTTATTGTCAAACAAGGCCTCTACATGGTGCATTGCTATAAACAACACTAGATGGATTTACAAAATATTGTAGTTACTTATGGACATACATACATGTATATTTTGAAAAGTATGTAAATTTAAAAATGTAACTGTAAACTTGTCCTCATGAAAGAAAAGACAGACTGAGTATGCTATTTAAATGAGCAGACATTGGATCTATATCAGCAGTTCTCACCTGTGTGTCACCATCCCTTTGGGAGTCAAAAAACTCTTTCACAGGTGTCACACATCAGTTATCCTGCATATCACACATTTAGATTCGATTCATAATAGTAGCAAAATTATAATTTTAAAGTAGCAACAAAGTAATTTTGTTGATGGGGTCACCACAACATGAATTAAGGGGTCATTGCATTAGTGGGTTGAGAATCACTGATCTGTATGTATTTGAATTACATGCAAGTGTGTGTATTGTATCATACATTTTAAAATCATGATGTTAGAAATTTGAAGGAACTACGGAATTTGCCTTTATAATTTGCTATTTAAAAATATAATCATATGCAGAATGAAGCCAGTATTACTTGTGGTTGGACTCTGGGCAAGGTGTTTCCTGGGTCTTCATTTTTTTATTCAAAAAATTGAAATAAAGGCTCACATAAATCGCAATGTAGCAAGGAAACTATTCAAAACAGAGTAATAGTAGAGATCAGAAAGAAATGTATCATCAAGCATGACAACAGACCACTTGAATGAGCATAGTCAATGCCATGATTGGTGCTTGGGGCTTCTAATAAGGTTCAAGAAGTGTGTGGTTGCTAAGGGTCATGGTACCAGCCTTCTCTTTTTCTATTGACAGGTTTCAAAGTATATGATATCGCTCTTTATGTAGTTCCTTTCCCATGATGCACCTAGCTTTAATTATATGTACACCAAATTATGCATAAAATATGAAATGGTATATAGAAGATTTCAGATGTCCCCATAAAAATTCATTTGGTAGTTACAGTTTACCTTATTGCAGGGGCATGAAAAACCAATTCAGGCTGGAGCAAGCCTCCTACCCTCATACCTGGATATAACTAGAGTAAAACTGAGTAAAATTTCTAAAAGTTTGCCAGTTGTTGAAAGGAGGGGAAACTTTACTGATTATTCAGATAATAGTGGTTATTATGATGATAATGTAATTTGATGCAGGCATAGATCCTAGGTTTCTAACAGTCTTAAATGTGGTTTTTTTGGAGAGATGTATGTGTACATTACATGCAGATAATGGTTTGCAGTTGCCAAGAATAGGGGGAATGTGCATGGCTCAAGTTGAGTAGAGTCCTGGGTTGCTGAGCTATCCTTTTGCTTTCCTGTCACACTAGGAAGCTTTGCTGTAATTTTTTCATATATACCCATAGACATCAGTATCGTGACGTGATCCATGGTCTTTGTTGTCAGTGGAACTTGGATTCTATCAATGGTTCACCACTGGGATGCTACACAACTCTTGAGTGCTTACTCAGTTTCAATCTGGATTTCTGTGTTCTGATCTGATGCAAAAGTTATGTTTAAGAATTCCATAATGTGATAAATAATATATGTGTTACCTGAAACTTAGTATTCAGTCAGATACAGTTATTTTGTTCCTGCTTAGCAAATCCACGTTTACACACAAAAAAGAAGTAGGTACAGGAATCACTTGTTTTTAACTAAACATTTATTTCCATGTTATATTTGCCTAGGTTTTTGTTTTTGAGACTGGTATTTATAGCTTGGAACATAATGAAACAGTAGCAATTTGTTCAAATATATGCTGGGGTACACCAACTTAAATGGTATCTTTTCAAATAATGTAATTTCCTACTAATTTAGAACAGAAACCAAAAGCCCTCCTTCAAAGAAGTAGAATGTTCCAGAAAAGATACTCACTATAAGGTCCTGCTTATGGGACAAATCCTTTGATTTTGCATTTTAAAATCATTAAGTACACTTTGTTTCTTATTGATGGTTGCTTTCAATAAAAAAATGTAGATCCTCCCATTCAATCCATGTATGTAGCCAGGCTGTTCTCAGAAAAGCTTGTTATCTGAAGAAGTCATTATCTAGGAAATGGTAGGCAACTGAGATTTATTATCATATCTCTGGACTTTGAAACAAATGGCCAACAATCACAACCAAGAACTCAGAAATCTTAGGCAGTCTCCCAAAGTTGCAGGCAGCCACGTTTTGACTTTATTCTACAAAGCAAAACATAACATCAACTTACACATTCTTTCAGATATTTTAGCCAGAAAGCCAGAAACAATATGTCACATTTCTAAACCACATGTGGAAGATTAGAATACAAATAGGAAATGCAGAAGAATTTTTGCAGCTTATCAGACTATACTATATAAGTAATATCTATGTAATGTGAAGAACATCATTTTCATTATCAGAGGGCTTTAACAAGTAGCTTTGCACATTTTTCAAGAAGAATGGCCAGGGCCATAGCCAGAATATTGATGCTGTTCCTGCTTTTGTTCTGTGGGAAGGGACATTCAGTTACTAGACTATTGATTTAGAGAGGGAGGGAAGGAGTGGGGGGAAAGCAACAAAGAACTTTACCTTTTCTTCTGTTTCATTAAAAATACCTATTTTCCCTATGATGAGCATTGATGTCACCTGCTTGTCCCTACTCATGGTTCTATATCTCTTTCTCCTCTCCTATACACTAAACATTGCTTCAAAACCTGTATGTTCTACAAAAGACAAACTTGACTAATTTTGGGCCTGCTTAGAAAAGAACCCTGTGGACCTTTGCTCCTAAATAAGAATTTCAGACTTGGAGGAGAGCAGAAATGTCAGCCATGGCAAGGTCATTTGAAAAGTGCCTCCCTGTGCAGTGACCTCTCTTCTCCATATGATTACGATTGTCAGTGACATTCCAATTCTGTTGATAAGAGAGCTGATGGAAGATAACTGTGGAATAAGACTACATAATCTCTAGCCCAGTCACTTATGCCTTTCAGCCTGTTTCTATGCTTATTCATTTTTAAATGGCAACACTAACTGTATGTTTTACAGATTAGAATATGATGCTTTGAACATCTGTACATCATAATTAGGTTAGGCCACCGGGGTCACCAGAGAGATAGATATGCCACACTTGTGTTCCACAATCCAGTATATCTGTGTATTCTTTTGTAACCATCCCAGATTTGTGTCTTCCTTTATTCTTCTTATCTACCATATGCTAACATTCATCAAGCCTATGTGTAGGCTGTCAGTATCCTGTATCTTCAAAAGGCGATACTCCTCCTCTTCTCTCTCTTCTTACTCTTCTTCTTGTTCTTCTGAAGAAGCAAGTAGGTCTCTGCCTCTCTCTTTTCTCTCTTTCTTTCTCTTTCTGTCTCTCCCCTCCCTACTCCCTTATCTCAATAAAACTCTTGCGTAAACTCTACCTACATGGTGTGTTTGTCGCTTCCCCACAGTGAGGCCTCTGGCTCTCATCTGCCTAGTACTCTTGGAAGAACAATCATATCTGGTGCCTTGAGACTTGGCAGGCTCTCTTGGCAGTTCTTCCTGCCACTAAAACCCTGCAACTTTTGCCAGTCTCTCTCACTTTTCCAGCAAAAAGCTCACTGGGGTCGTACATCTAACACTGGCATGTCTGGTAAGCCCCCTTTCTCCGGCCCTATTACTATGTTTCTATGACTGAGAATTCATTTCTCAGCTCTGGTTTCTCACATCCTGGCTTTACTTGTAAGACCCAGTATTGGGCAGCCATGGTCTCAGGCTCAGAGCCCTGGTCCCTGCCTTTTGCTTGATCCCAAAAGTAGTCTGTGTCTTCTATCCATTTCTTCCTTAGTATCTGGAATGTTGAAGATTGTAGGCTTAGGATCTTCTCCACCTCAATCATGGACACTATGCCCCCTCCATTCAGAAATCATCACAAAGCTACCTATTGGCACCAAACATTCTGCCTGTGATTCACAGTTGGATCACTGTTCCTTTTCTCTTGCTTGTCTGTCTGTTCCCGGTGTGTGATCTAGCCATGCTAAAAGGCTCTCTCCCAACCACCACAGAAGCCTCCTGCTGTGTCCCACCATTGGCCTAGCCTGTCTCTAGGTGGGATCCTCCCTCTGCCTCGGAACAGTCTGTTTTGCTAGGCATCTTATTCTTCTGTTCAAATGTCTGGCTCTTCTGTTTGTCATGGCTCTACCACAGCTGCCACCAGACCATCCAGCCCAACTTGGCAGGTCCCTTTTTCCTGCCTGGCTTGCTGTTGCTTTTGTTCCCACTTCCCTTTCTGCTGCAGCCAAGGTCAGGGGTAGGGGTGGGTTCCTCTTTCCCACCTAGCTGCATATGTTTTAAAGATGTGTGTTAATAATCTGGCCACATGCATATGTTTCTGAATGTCTTGTATGTCTGTCTTGTTAATTGGGTCTGTTTAAAATTTTCATGACTGCTCTAAAAAGTCATGTGGTTTGTGGTACTTTATAATACATGGGAAGGGGCTATCTTGGCTAAGGGCAGGGCAGATAACCTAACTGTCATTTTCACTAAGGACCATCAAGTGACCAACCGCCCTGTACCACTCAGCCCTGGGGTGGTGACTGGAGTAGGGGGGAGCTGCAGAAGGTTCCACCCCTAACCTAGCTGCACACATAGCAGCCTGGCCCCACCACCAGTTACATCACCACTTCTCACCAGCTGCCTTAACACCATTAGCTTTGCTTTAGAAATGCCTGCCAGGCAGAACCAGTTTCTTCTTGTTCCTTTGTCTTTAATTCCTCTTTCACTCACCCTGCTGTGACTGGCGTATTTGTGTGATGGTATGTCTTGACAATGCCCTCTGAGGCATTCATTTCATACAAGAACCCTACGCACCTGTAACAGATATGCTTTCTCTTACCCCTAATGAACCTTTCATTCAGCAATGGCAGCTGGATCTGCAAAGTTGGAGTCAGAGATGGAGAAGCAAGCTTCATCTCACTCAGCACACACTGGTTCTCCCTTTCTTTTCTTTCTCTTTTTTTTGTTTGTTTTGTGAGGCAGGGTTTCTCTGTGTAAGACCCTAGTTGTTCTGGAACTAGCTCTTGTAGGTGAGGCTGACTTTGAACTCATAGAAATCTGTCTGCCTCTAGGACTCAGGCATGCACCACCACATCCTGGCAGTTCACCCTTTCTTATTTTACTCAACTTCTGTTTAATATGTGTGTGTATACTTGTGACTTTTGATTTAACTTTATAAATATAAAAATAAATTTACTAGCTTTAACTCTGTGTGTGTACATGTGCAGCTTAAATTCATCTGTGCATATATGTTCATATAATTATTGTTTAAAATGATTTAAACAGTCTTAATGAGCTCTGTTCATTTCATCTCCTTCTAGACTAAAAACAAAAGTCTCAAATATTTTAAATTGGTATGTACTTTTAAATGATGATAAAAATATATGGTAAGATCTGTCATAACACACTGTATATGTGACTTAACTCTGTTTTAAAATATATTGTATATAATGATATAAATTTAAGGTTATAAGATCTATTTCAGATTAACAAAAACTAACTTTAAATCTAACTTAGAGATTTACACCACCAAGTCTTTCCCATAAACTGTTTATAAGAGGGACCATCACTATAGTCAGTTATTAGTGTTCAGTTTTTAACAAGTAACTGCTCAGATATACCCAATAGACAGACTTAAAATGTTCAGACACATTGAGTATATGGCATTTAAAATGTTTAACTAAAAAAAAAAAAAAAAACTTTCATAACAGAGAGAGACAGATCAACTTCTGCTACTACTCCCACTTCCTCCAAAACAGGTGACTGGGTACAGAAGAACTTCCACTTGGAACTTGATTCATAAATGGCAGCACTAGTCACTGATTAAACCTGTCTTTTAACTAAGCTGCTGTTAAGACCGTCTTCAGACCATGGATGATGGGACACTGGAATCAAATGCCTAGTATTGCCTAGAAAAGCTCCTAATCCACAGGATCTTCTAAAGCTTGATTAGCTTGAACTAAGAACAGAAGACTGATGTTGTCCTCAGTGACCATGGAGGACCCTGGGGAGTGGTTGGTTGTCTAGGCAGTCAATTAAATTAGTGTCTGTAATTTTTAAGCATTAACTCAGATAAAACTTTTTCCTTCTCAAGATTTCTTTTATTTATTTATTTATTTATTTATTTATTTATTTATTTATTAAAGATTTCTGTCTCTTCCCCACCGCCGCCTCCGCTTTCCCTCCCTTCCCCCAACTGGTAGCATTGCCGGCTTTACTAAGGCTTCATCTGCCTTCCCAGCTCTCTGTGTAAAACTGAAGTCACAGGACCCACTCTCCTTTGAGCCAATGCCAAGTCTAGGCAAAATTTATCTCATTAGCAGACTCAGAAAAGAGATAAACTCACAAAACAAAGGTCAGTATAACTTCTTACCATTCCTTAGTTTAAATAAAAGTATTTTAAGATACAAAGCTTATGATGTGAGGATTTAAAAATGTCTTAGGGTCTAAGAAGGTTTTTTAAGATGTGCAAATGAAAATTACTAAGGTGTGTAAGTGCAAGTTATAAAGGTCTGAGGATAAAAGACTTAAATGTTGACTAAGACGAGTGGTTTGAGACATTTAAAAGAATAAAACATGTTCCAGATTTCTCTCTCTCTCATTATGCTACTATTATATTAGGATTCCAAGGATATACTGCCTTAACATTAATCAATACAATTATTCTGGCTCTGGAAGAATGCTGCCACTACCATCATAACCACAAGCTCAAAATTTCAAATTCTCTTTTGTTGTTTTCTAACTATAGACCTCAAAGATACTCATTGTGCAAAAAAAAAAAAAAAAAAAAAAAATATTTACCACAGTTTTCTGAATAGAATGCAAGGAATTCTTGTAAATTGACTTGGATTCACTTCAAACAGGTCAGATGAATTCTTCCCTCAATTACCAGGTCCTAAACACCCTAAACTTCTAACAATTGGAACCTGGACATAAACCCAAGTCATCAGTCCTGGCAGTGAGTGTCATTGCCCACAGAGGAACCTGGGAGAAGTGAAAATAGAGGAAAGAATATGATCAAAACAAATTGCATGAAAAAGGCCAATAAATTAAGAACAATAAATGAATAAACACATTAAAAAATCTACATCCCAGTTAGCAACCTCATCTTCCTGTACCCAAGTGAACATTGAACCATGGCTAGGTAGAACACACCCCCTTCTGCAACAAATGGCAACCATTTCATACTACCAACTGGTATGTATGCCATTTCCCTTCATAATGCCTTCTAGTCACATAGTGTTACCATCCCACAATTATAGAAGGCAAAGACTATGACTCTTATTTTTAGATACTTTTCATATATCCTAGCAGCCTGGAGTAGCAGTTTCCTATTACAGATACAGTTCAAAAATTAACAAAAAAAATGCCACCAATTTTTGAGATATAAACAGTTAAAAATATTAATTTGACCAATAACTAAAATCAGCAAGCATTTGGTTTCTGCTATTTCTCCAAAAGAGATAAAATATTTGCTATCAAATAGATAGCAATTTGACATTGTCTCTTTTTCTCCCAGCTTATTAATTTTGTTTTTAGAGATTGCAGACTCCAATGATCTCTTTTCTGTTTGACTTTCCTGCTTCAAAGTTCATGGGGGACTGTAATGTTTCTTTCATCACTGCCCAGAAATGAATGAATCTTATGTAACCTCTCCCTCCCTCTCTCTCTGCCTCTCTCTCTCCCTGTCTCTCTCTCTGTGTCTCTCTCAATCTCTCTCTCTCTCTCTCTCTCTCTCTCTCTCTCTCTCTCTCTGTGTGTGTGT